GGGGGGGCAGAATTCTGGGAGTTCTGGTTCGCCTTTGGAGCCAAAAGTTATCAACTAGAATTGGAGGAAAAAAACCAATGGCTTGGGACTTCCCTGGTGGCACAGTGGTTAAGACTCACGTACCCAATGCAGGGGATCCGGGTTCGATCCCTGGTCAGGGAACTAGATCCCACACACATGCCGCAAGTAAGAGTTCACATGCAGCAACTAAGGAGCCTGCGAGCCACAACTAAGGAGCACACCTGCTGCAACTAAAAACCAGCAAGACCAAATAAATAAATAAAATATTAAAAAAAAAAAAAAAGAACCAATGGCTTGGACCCAAGCCTTTGGGCGGAGCCAGGGTTTTCTTTCTTCCCTCATGATTTGAGATCTAAGCTATCCCCTTCCCCCTCCTTTTTTTTTATAGATTATTTTTATTGCTGGAATACTTTTGTGGAAAATCATGAAAGAACTTTCAAAGCCTGGGAGGGGCTGCATGAAAATTCGGTTCGTCTGTCCAGACAGCTTCGACGCATCCTTTTGGTAAGTTAAGGGCCTTCTTTGCTTCTCATTTTCTTTCTCTCTCCAAAGTCATCTATCCCTGGAGCTACTTATACTTCCTTTTCTTATATTTCCCACATTGTCGTGTGTGTTTGTGTGTGTGTGTGTGCGTGTGTGTGTGTGTGTGTGTGTATTTATCATTCTCTCCTTATTTTTCCTCTGATGAAAACTTTACAGAGCACAGGCCGTAGGCTTCTGTAGTTATGGCGCTCGGGCTTAGTTACTCCGTGGCATGTGGGATCTTCCCAGACCAGGGCTCGAGCCCGTGTCCCCTGCATCGGCAGGGGGATTCTTAACCACTGCGCCACCAGGGAAGCCCCTCTCCCCTTACTTTCTTCAAAAATGTTTACAAAGTCATCCACTCTCTCTTTTTCTCCACAGCCCCTATATGAGGTTGATGACTTACGAGATGCATTTCGTACTTTGGGACTTTAATACCAACCTTCAAGAATGTCACATACAAAGAAATACCTCTGAAGACAGTGGGTAAAAGAACTATCCTTCAAGAATTCTGTTTTTCTTCAACTCTCACTTTCTCTGAGTTTAGAAAAAAGTATTCATAGATGTTTTTAAAATGTCTTGAAAATAGAAGGAACCCAGACCCACCAGGGTTAATGCCGCAACTGGTGCAGTTTTTAAATGCAGCATCGTCCCCTACTGGGAAACGACAGAACTGCAGGGCCTGGGAGCCCCTAAGTGTCAATACTCTGCCATTTAAGCAGAGAGAAAGCAGAAGGTAAATACTGAGGAGCATGGTGAGAGGATCAAATGTTTTATAACCGGTATCCTTTATTATTTGATTCTTGTTCTGAGTTTTCAGTGGTATTAATGATAAATTTTTCTACTCTTTTCCATTGGGGCTCACTTTCAAGTGAACAAAATTCTGTCACCCTGTGATCCACAGAACTTCCTAATGAGAGAACCTGGGTGATTGTAACCCCAAGCCATCTCTTCAAAGCATTAATATCCAAGCATGTGTTGTACGTTTTAACTGTCTGAAGTATGTTTTTATGTTTGTACGTACAGAGGATTTTTTCTTGGTATGGAAAATGCCTGGTCACACCTTTAGGCTCTTGTATAATAAAGGATCTTAAAATGAATTTGAGGGCTGTGAAGAAGACACACTAAAAGTGAATGTATACCTCAAGTAACAAATCTGCAAAAAGATCCTTTTAAGGGCTTCCCTGGTGGTGCAGTGGTTAAGAATCTGCCTGCTGATGCAGGGGACACGGGTTCAAGCCCCGGTCCGGGAAGATCCCACATGACGCGGAGCAACTAAGCCCGTGCACCACAACGACTGAGCCTGTGCTCTAGAGCCCGCGAGCCACAACTACTGAAGCCCGCATTCCTAGAGCCCGTGAGCCAGAACGAAAAGTAGGCCCCGCTCACCCCAACTAAAGAAAGCCCACGTGCAGCAGCGAAGACCCAACCCAGCCAAATATAAAAACTAAATAAATTTTTAAAAAACCATATATATATATATATATATATATATGATCCTTTTAAAATCATAGTTTTGCAACTATACATTTCCCATATAACTAGTGAATGCTTGGAAGGGACTTGCTTGAATGCTGAGAAAAGAAAAATCTATTCTCTCTGATGGGCCTTTGAACCTCAGCAATGCCAACCAGGTCAAGGTTTTCCCCTTTTTGTGTGTATGTGTCACCTCTCTCAAAGAAATGTGACGATATAACAGACTGTGACAGAAGAACAGTTGGGAGGGAAGGATGACAGAGCATTGCAAGGAAGTGGTGTTTTATCCAGTAAAATGGTGTGAGCCAGCATGGCGGAGAGCGGTCATTTGTCCCTAATAACTATCCTGGACTCTGAGAAAAATATTCAGAATAACCGTAACACTGTACAATTATTACCTAGCAACCCTTGCAACGCAGATAAACAGATCCACAGGAAAGGCTGAACACATACTTTTATTATTTTATTCTTATTGTACATAAATTGTGAAAGAGTTAAATACTAAAAATCCTTATTCATGTATTCATTCATATTGTATGTTTATGCTATGTGGTGTCTCATATTTTTATCATAATTTCCCTTTCTGATATGTTGAAATGGATTCCTAATGTCTCATAAGTTTATACCTTTAGAAATGCTTCTAGTAGCAAAGCATGTAATTCTAACATAGTCTAACATTGTAATAACATTGCTATGAAACCCTCTTGATGTTTAGTAAACTTTTCCCACAGCAAATTTGATTCTGGCTCTTTTCAATCAACTGAATAAATGATAAATAATTTTGAAAGTTTTGGAGATAAAAATGCCAAATTCAAGTAAATCCAAAAGTGATTTTTAAAAGGTTAAATTACAAAATTCGGATGATGGAATAGAATTCAGAGTCCAGGAATAAGCCCACACATCTATGTTCAACTGATTTCTGACAAGGGTGCCAGGACCATGCAGCGGGTGAAAGAACAGTCTTTTCAACAAGAGATGCTGAGACAACTGGATATCTATGCGCAAAAGAATGAATGTGGACCTCTACCACAATACACACAAAAATTAACTTAAAGTTTATCAAATACCTAAATCTAAGAATGTCCCTAATTAGTACATGCTTAAGTCTGCTCTTTGGAACTCAGGGAAGGCCTAAGATACTAAAGCCTTTTTCTACAAACAAGAAATAGGGGACACAGTGGGGCTTTTGTACCCGGAAGGGTCGTTTTCAATCCTCCCTTTTCTTTGATAGGACTCAATCCTGAGGGGAATGAGGTGGGACAAGAAAGGGGATAAAGTTTTGGATAGAGAGGTTAATCATAAACTCAGCAGGGGAACCCTTGTTTTAGGAGGATTCAGTTTCAGACTCACAGAATGGGGAAAAAAATATTTACAAATATTATCTGTATATACTCTGCATATTCAGTATCCAGAATACATAAAGGACTCTTAAAACAACCTAATTTAAAAACGGCTGAAAGACTTGAGTACGTTTCTCCAAGGAAGATTTACAGACTGCTAGTCAGCATATGAAGAGATTCGCAACATCCTTAGTCATTAGGGAAATGCAAATCAAAACCACAGTGAGATCCACTTATACCTACTAGGATAGCTATTAGCAAAAAACCAATAATAACAATTGTTGGTGAGAATGTGGAGAAATTAGAACTGTCATATGAGAAAGTGGAGAAATGAGAACCATATATTGGCTGGTGGAAATGTAAAATTGTGCAACCACTATGAAAAACAGTTTGGTGGTTCCTCAAAAATTAACATATAATTACTGTATGACACATCAATTCCACTCCTTGGCGTATATCTGAGAATTAACAACAAATGTTCAAACAGAAACTTGTACATGACTATTCTAGCAGCATTATTTGTGGTGGCCCAAAAGTGGAAATTCCCAAACATCCATCGACTGATACATGGATAAACAAATGTGGTACATCTGTACGATGGTATTTCACCTGGTTATAAATAGATGAAGTAATGACACTTCCTACAAAATGGATGAACCTTGAAAACATTGTGCTAAGAAGTCAGACACAAAACACCAGCTATTGTATGATTCCATTTATGTGAAATGTCCAAAATGGATAAATCCAGAGTTCTGATTCCATGCAACAGTGGGCAAGGTATTTAACCTTTCTAAAGTTTTAATTTTCCATCTGTAAAATGGGTATGATATGTTAACTTTTCATATATTTTTTTAAAATTAATTTTTGTTGGAGTATGGTTGATTTACAATGTCGTGTTAGTTTGTGCTATACAGCAAAGTGAATCAATTATACATATACATATATCTACTCTTTTTTAGATTCTTTTCCCATATAGGTCCTTACAGAGTATTGAGTAAAGTTCCCTGTGCCGTGCAGTAGGTTCTTTATTTTTGGTCTCAAGTTGAAGGATTACACAAAGCTGGTGCTATCCTCGTGAATAGCATTGCCACCCTCTAGAAGACAGCAACCTAGAAATCACCGCTGACATTCCCTCTGACCCTATATCTGGTCCTGTAGACTTGTGGGCTAAATCTCTTGAATTTATTTACTTTTCTCTATTTACTATCACCTGGTGGACAGGAGTGGGGGTGGCACGGTGGAGGGCAAGGAGCAGCCCCTGACAGTCAAAAATTGGCCTGATACTCGTAACCAGGCCATATCATTTCCCTGTTGGACATAAGTCTCGTAGAATACCAACCTCAGACAGGATGACTCTAAGACCATGATAAAATGAAAGCAAGCAAAGCCACTTCATAATTTGTCTGAGACACCCACAAAACACCCAACACCCCCTCTCTTGGGTAAAAAGAATGTCTGCTACTTCTTTACCAATTACAGCCTTATCCTTGTTCAGGTCAGCCTTCCCCAAAGATTTATCAACAACCATAGAATCGACCCTACTCCCTCACAATGTCCACTCTAACCAATCTAAAGCAAATCTCCTTTTCTTACGCCCTCCCCCAAATGATCAAACCAAAGCCCAAATTCTATAATTGAATGTATAGCTATGGAGAGTCCCAGTAAGAGAAACGCCCTCATGCTGAGACATTTCATGGCTCATGGTTCCCAATGAGGTGCATTCTCCCTCACAGAGAGTCATAAATCTCACTTCTTCAACTGCAGGCATTTTCTTCATGGTCTTTAGCTGGAGCCATTGACACCTTAGTTGGAGCTATCAACATTGCTTGCTTACTCTATTGCCAAGAGTTATGGTATTCACTAACTCTTAATATATTTTACTGACAGTTATTCTGTGGTGGTGATGATGATGGTTGTTTTTTTAAGAAAATTTCATGAGAAATAAATGCTGAATCTGTTAATGGGAATTGGAGGACTTTGGTCACAGAATGTTATTTATAGCATGTTAGAATTTAAGTACATGTTCAATTTATTAAAGATACAAATTTCAATACCTAATTTTAAGCTTCAAAATTGTGTAATATGATTTCCAAATCTAATTTTCTATTAAGGGACTTCCCTGGTATCACAGTGCTTAAGTATCTGCCTGCCAATGCAGGGGACATGGGTTTGAGCCCTGGTCCAGGAAGATCCCACATGCTAAGGAGCAACTAAGCCCGTGAGCCACAACTACTGAGCCTGTGCTCTAGAGCCCGCGAGGCACAACTACTGAGCCCGTGTGCCACAACTACCGAAGCCCGCGCACCTAGAGCCCGTGCTCCCCAAGAGAAGCCACTGCAATGAGAAGCCCGTGCACCGCAACGAAGAGTAGCCTCCGCTCGCCACAACTGGAGAAAGCCAGCACGCAGCAACGAAGACCCAGTGCAGCCAAAAAATAAATAAACAACATATAAATAAATAAATAACTTTTAAAAAATTTTCATACATATTGGGACTTCCCTGGTGGTGCAGTGGTTAAGAATCCACCTGCCAATGCAGGGGACACAGGTTCGAGCCCTAGTCTAGGAAGATCCCACATGCCACAGAGCAACTAAGCCCATGCACCACAACTACTGAGCCTGCGCTCTAGAGCCCTCAAGCCACAACTACTGAGCCCGCAAGCCACAACTACTGAAGCCTGCAAGCCACAACTACTGAAGCCTGCGCTCTAGAGCCCGCATGCCACGACTACTGAAGCCTGTGAGCCTAGAGCCCGTGCTTCACAACAAGAGAACCCACCGCAATGAGAAGCCTACACACCTCAATGAAGAGTATCTCCTGCTCGCTGCGATTAGATAAAAGCCCTCAAGCAGCAATGAAGACCCATAGCAGCCAAAAATAAATTAATTTTTAAAAAAAGTTCATACATATTAAAAAAAAAAAAGAATCCGCCTGCCAATGAAGGGGATACGGGTTCGAGCCG